CGGGGTCACTGTCACCTCCCTCCAGTGGGGTCTGTGTCCCCTCCCCCGGGGGTCACTGTCACCTTCACCCAGTGGGGTCTGTGTCCCCTTCCTCCCGCGGGGTCTGTGTCCCCTCCTCGGGGATCGTTGTCCCCTCCCTGGGGGGTCTCGCTCCCCTCTCCCGGGGGTCACTGTCACCTCCTTCCAGTGGGGTCTGTGTCCCCTCCCCCGGGGGTCACTGTCACCTCCCTCCAATGGGGTCTGTGTTCTCTGTTCGGGGGTCACTGTCACCTCCCTCCAGTGGGGTCTGTGTCCCCTCCCCCGGGGATCGCTGTCACCTCCCTCCAGTGGGGTCTGTGTCCCCTCCCCCGGGGGTCACTGTCACCCTCACCCAGTGGGGTCTGTGTCCTCTGTCTGGGGGTCTCCGTCCCCTCCCCCGCGGGGTCTCTGTCCCCTTCCCCTGTGGTCGCTGTCACCTTCACCCGCGCGGGGTCTGTGTCCCCTCCTGGGGGTCGCTGTCACCTTTTCCCCTTCGGGGTCTGTGTCCCCTCCCAGGGAATCGCTGTCCCCTCCCCACCACGGGATCTGTGTCCCCTGTCCAGGGTCACTGTCACCTTCACCCGTAGGGTCTCTGTCCCCTCCCCTGGGTGTCTCTGTCCCCTTCCCCTGTGGTCGCTGTCACCTTCCCCCCCACAGGATCTGTGTCCCCTCCGGGGGGTCATTGTCACCTTCCCCTCCGCGGGGTCTCTGTCCCCTCTCGGGGTTCGTTGTCCCCTCCTCCCCACGGGATCTGTGTCCCCTCCCCGGGGTCTGTGTCCCCTCCCTCCGGGGGGTCGCTGTCACCTTTTTCCCCTCCCGGGGGTCTCTGTCCCCTCCCCTGTGGTCACTGTCCCCTCCCCGTGGGTCGCTGTCCCCTCCCCCGCGGGCTCCCTGTCCCTTGTGCCCACCGCGTCCCCCGTTTCCCACGGACCGGGGGGTGTCCCCCCGGGGTGTCCCCGCAGCGGTGGCGCCGCAGGGGTGTCCCCGTGTCCCCGCGCACGCGCCGCCGCCACCGCAGTGTGTGGGCAGGCGAGCGGAGCGGCCGCCGCCGTTGCCAGGGAACCGGGGGCTCTCGGCAATTTGGGGCCCCCCCCGCCCCAAACGGGGAGGGCCCCGAGCGCTGCCGGGCTGGGTGGGGGTTCTGGGGGGGCTCTGGGGGTGGCGGTCACCGCGAGGGGACACAGCCCGGCCCCGCCCGGGACAGCCCGGAACAGCCCGGGACAGGCCGGGGCCGGATCGGGGGGCGGGGGCACGGCCAACGCCCACCCGGTGGTCCCGAGGGTCCCGGGGGTCCCGGTCTGAGCCCAGCGCTGCTGCAGCACCGGCACTGGGGAAGGGGGGAGGGGGAGCCCCCGAATCCGCCTGGGTCTGACCCCTCGGTGGGTGCGGGGACAGGCGACATCCCGGCCCTCGGGCCCTGTGTCCCTGTCACCAGCACCCATCTGTGTCCCCCAAACACCCATCTCTATCCCCATCCCTGTCCCCCATCCCTGTCCCCTCCAGCAACCAT